ATAATTTCTGTTTCATATTCTCATTTTTATGGGTGTGAGCGGGCATAGAAATGCAATAACTGGTCTTATGGAGGAGAAAAATGCAAAACAGAAATTTGCATGTAAAATACAGAAAAATGAAAAACAACTGTAGGTCAGCAGTAGTACATTGCATTACTGAATTAAGTATTCCTCTTTTTTTTTTTTTTTTTTTGAACACACACTAATTTACAGTGTACGGCTACTTTTTATTCTGACTGAATTCGCAGAAATTTGCTAGCATCTCTTTTTCCTAGTGGTGATTTCCAAGCTGACTAGAAAATAGCATCCTACTTTCTTTCCATGTTTTGGAAACTAAAAAAACTTCTTTCCTAGTGCGGAGCTTCCATTGGGCAAATGATTTCTAAGTGAGTAAGAACATTTTTATGTTTCAGTTCTGTATACAATTTCTTTCAAAATCTTGATGTGGGACCAGGAAGATTGCAATTCAACAGACCAGTATGATTTATACTTTTGGTTACTCTATTAAAATTCAGGGATGGGTTTTTTTTCCATTGGGATAGTTTGTCAACATTAATTATGATTATTTTTTTAACTGAAGAGTGAGGCAGCAATTCTCCAAGATTAATTCCTTAAACACTACAGAACAGTGATAGCTCATTGTTATCAAATCATATTCACATAGCTAATGATTTCTCAACTGCCAGAGAAGAAATCCTTTGATATAGTTATAGTTGAAGATAGGCCAAATCCTCTCTGGTGTAATTAACACATTCCTATATCCAATCTGCCAATCTAAAAGGTTATAAGAGATTTTTGAATTTCATCTGTAGTCTCAGGTAAGAAATTGATTCTTGTAGACTTACTCCAGTCCCAATTGGAGAACAGGAACAGTAAATCATATTGCCATTGTAGCTGTTTATAATAAATATTACTATTCTCATTTGTTGCTTATCATTGTGCTTAAATAATTAGCATACCTTGACACATGCCTACCAAACTGATCACCGTGCCATACCACTAATATAACTCTTCAGTTTACCCCCCCTTCCCTATGTAAATTCTGAGTTGTTGTCTTGACTATTAAGCATTTACTTTAGTATATACTGTAGGTAGTCCTTGACTTACAAAAATTCATTTAGTGACTGCTCAAAGTTACAACAGCACTGGAAAAAGTGACTTATGACTGTTTTTCACACTTACGACCATTGCAGCATCCCCAGGGTCACATAATCAGAATTCAGATGCTTGGCAACTGTCTCATATTTATAATGGTTGCAGTGTCCCAGAGTCATGTGATCACTTTTTGCAACCTTTTGGCAAGCAAAATCAATGGGGAAGCCAGATTCACTTAACAGTCGCATTACTAATTTAACTGCAGTGATTCACTTAACAACTGTGGCAAGAACGGTTGTAAAATGGGGTAAAATTCATTGTCTCGCTTAGCAATGGAAACTTTGGGCTCAGTTGTGGTCATAAGTCGAGGACTACCTGTACCAAATTGCTTTTCCTCTCTTACTCACATATGCTATACGTTTAACTAACTAGCAGCCTCTGAACGGGTGGTTTAAGGCCCATAAAGCACTTCCGCCCGTTGTAGGTGAAATGTCGTAAAAATGTTGCACTCTCCATTTTCAATCTTCCCTGCTGGCTTCCCCAGAAAAGTCATTGGGGAAGCTGACAGGGAAGGTTGCTGGAATTTGAACATCCATTTCCCCTAGCGCACTGCGGGATTTCTGCCTTCTATGCAGGGAGAAGAAATCTCTCATGCTGGAGGAACCGACCTCAAATCTGATGAAAATGACCTGAAATCTGATGAAAATGCTAGCAAATGCCATCATTCTCCCTGATGGGACAAGGAGAGCGTCTAAACTTCCTTGGTGTGGCGTGAGGCCGATGTCCTCTCCCTGGCACTTGGCTTAATGTCTACAACTAGGAGAGTCAAGATTGTGGGCGTTGAGCAAAGCGGTCACATGGTATCTCGCTTAATGATCACTTCACTCAGCAACCAAGATTCCTGGCCCAACCCAATGTGGTCCTAAGTGGAGGACTAATTATTGAAAACAGGTGGACAACAGATTGTGCTTCAGCTCTTCCAGTCACATTTCTGCTTTGAAATATTAAACTGTGCTTGAATTAACTAGCACGATCCAGAGTAACTAGAACAGGAATGGAAAGTCTGCCCAAGTATAACAGGAAGTTATAGTCAGATTACTACTTCAATACTGAAATTGCCACCTCTTCAGAAATAAAGGGTTGCTGACTGCCCAATGTTTGCCTAGAATAGAATAAAGCTGGAAGGGACCTTGGAGGTCTTCTAGTCCAGCCCCCTGTTGAAACAAGAGAGCCTATACCATTTCAGATAAGTGGCTGTCCAGTCTCTTCTTAAAAACCTCCAGTGATGGAGCACCCACGATTTCTGGAGGCAAGCTGTTCCATTGGTTAATTGTCCTCACTGTTAGGAAGTTTCTCCTTAATTCCAAGTTGCTTCTCTCTTTGATTAATTTCCAGCCATTGTTTCTTGCCCTGCCCTCTGGTGCTTTGGAGAATAATTTGACCTCTTCTTTGTGGTAGCCCCTCAAATACTGGAATACTGCTATCATGTCACCCCTATTTCTTCTTTTCTTTAGACTAGCCTAATTCAATCCTGTGCCCAGTTTGTCTAGTTTAAAAGAGACCAGGGATAGATAGACTTTTTTAAAGGTCTTTTCTATCACTCCTAGAGATAGCTATGGTGTAGTGATTAAGGCACCAGACTGGGAAATTAGGAGACTTTGAGTTCTAGTCCAACCTTAGGTACAATGCCACCTGAATAACTGGGCCAGTCATAATCTCTCAGCCCTGAAAAACCACGCTAAGAAAACTGCACAGGGACTTGTCCAGGCAGTCTCAGAGAATTGGACAAATTGAACGTAAGAGGGGGGAAAAATAGCTTCTGCCTACTTATAATTCCAAACTGGAGTTGTTGTATATCACACAATCCTTACTGCATTTGGTACCTCCATCTTAACAAACCTACAGTCATTCCTTTTTGTAGAACAGGAAAAGTAATTATATATTAAGTTCCCTTCCAACTCTGTTATTCTGTATTCTGAATTGGCTTTTATGGAGTTCTTGTTGTTATGTATTTACCAGGCTAATACAAGAGGATTGTTTTAAGTTGTTTTTAGAGCAAAATGGTCATCAGTGTGCTTCCCAGAGATTTTGTGATGGGCTTGAAACTACTACTTTTTCAATTGTGGACATTTCCAAGGGGTCAATAAAATCTAAATAGCTACTTTAGAGACAGAGCATCCTCCAAACAGGCTCCAACTGGTCAGTTGAATGAAATGTACATGTTTTTCTCAATTTAAAAAAAATTCATTAAGTTCTTTAATGTCCTTGCTATGTCTTGTCATCAGATTTAAAAACCGAAATTCTGATCTCTGTCTGCCCCACCCTTTTTTGTCAGAATGCTGTCTGGCTCCATCTGAACAGGAAATGAGACCGAGGTCAGAATTGTTATTTCCCAGGCAAAATGAAAGGAGGCCAGGGGAAAGTACTGCAAACCATGAGCAGCAGCGTGATCTCACAAGGAGCAGAGCAATCTTCCCATTTGTAAGGGGGAAAAAATAACAAAAATGAAATTTGAAGAAATTGCCTTGTCTTTCTGTTCAATTGGGTTTTTGCTAGAGCAGAAGAAAATAGGTTTAAAAGAATGTTAATTCCTTCCATTTTAATCTACAAAATAGGTGTTCTCCTATAACTGTATTTGAATCGCCTCAGAAAACTGCTTTGAATGTTAGAATGGTTAATACCAAAACATCTCTTTGAAACTTTCACACAACGGAAAAGAAAAAAACACCTAAGATCATGAGGGGCTAGCCCAGGGGTAGGCAACCTTGGCTCTCGTGGACTTCAACTCGGCTCAGGAATTCTGGGAGTTGAAGTCCACAAGTCATAAAAGAGCCAAGGTTGCCTACCCCTGGGCTAGATGAACTATTGATTTACCAGAGCTAAAGGGAGCTCTTCTCTGGCAGAATTTAGGATTAGCCTTCCCCTAATTTTAATGCTAGGACTATAAATTCCCAGGTTGCTGGTTGAAAAGTGAGCAATTTCCTGACAGAACAATTAATCAATGAACAGCTTGCCTCCGGGAGTTGTGGGTGCTCCATTTCAGGAAAAAATTGGACATCCATTTTTCTGGGATAAGGACTCCTGCTTTTAGGACCCACAAGGTCCCTTCCAGCCCCGATTCTGAGAAGTCTAAATTCAGGATGCCTTGATTTATTAAGCTTGAAGCTAACTTAGAAGCAGATGGCCAAAATGACTAATCACCGAAGCAGAAGGATCCGCCATTTCTATGCTACCCTGTGCCTGCAGCACCTCCCATCACTCACTCTGGCAGCACCATCCCACAAGGATATAAGGAGGTCCACTGGAGTAATGAAACGGAGGATGGTAATAGCTACAGAATGCCTTGTGCCTTGGAACTCAAAACAAGAGGCTGTTTCAAAAGCTGAAATGAAATTCACGGGGGGGATAGAGAAATAACTACAATTTGGACCAGAATTTCCCTTGTTAAGCAATCAAATGGTTCTAAATTGTCCTTCCACCTAATGGCAGGAGTTTTTTTTGTTTTTTGTTTGTTAACTGGAAAAAGCAATCGCTTTGCTCAAGTTCTGCAGAGGGACAAGAAAAAGAGGCACTTGCAATGTTTAAATAGATTTTTATTTCAAGAGGTCTGCGAGTCAGACGTCCCTGCTCCGGAGACATTTTGATGTTTTGGCCGCAGACCGGGAGTGTCGTTCACCAGAAGAAGCTGGATTTCACATACAAAGATGGGGATGTGTGAGAGAAGGGAGTAAGCCAGAACTTCTAGGTTTTTCACAGCAAGACAAAGATCTACACCTTTCTCTTACGAGGGAAGCTGGCAAAAGGGACAGGTGAGGGTGAGGGGAGGAGGGGGACGGGGGGGGGGGAACAGTCAGCAGACATCACAGTAGCCCAGGCACAATATAGCAACAAGAGAGCAGACAATGTAACCAAGCCTCCGATTTTTAATAAGCGTGGTTGGAAACGAAGAGAGACTCGCTGGCAGCTCCTCCCGTTTGGCCAGATGAAACGTATTTACCTTGGCAGGCAAGGCTGTTGGCCTGTAAGGGGGGAAAAGTCATAGTGAGAAGAGTAGGACCTGTCCCACGTCAAAAGCAGAAATAGCACATCACTTCGCTTTCCCTGCCTTATTGCGCTCAGGGACAGCCACAGCAGAAACTGAGGGGAGCTATCAAAGTCCTTTCTCTTGTTGAAGGAGACAAAGAACGGCAAGGAATCTCTTTCCCACAAGACCCCTTTTGTGGCAGAATTGCTGGCAAATACAATATTTTTTATTTTATTGTCACTTTGAAAGTATACCAATCGACATACATCAAAATGAAATTTCGTTGCATACAGCTCTCAAAGGGTCACCACCTCCGATATACACTCCTTGTTTGTGGCCAGCTCAAGTGACAGATCTTCCATTTTAGTCTCTAGGGAGCGAACGATGGTAAACAGGACAGATGGAAGTGGAGCTCCATGTGGATTAGCCCTCAGATTAGCTTGTATTCCTGCACAACCTCGCCTCCTTTCCTTTTTCTGATCTTGTCTCTTCCACCTTTTCCTTAAAGAGGCCTCGTTCCTTTTCGCCCCTGGAGAATGCTGCCGCCGCCATCAATTCCTCCAAAAGCCTCTCTCCCATCCTCTGGGCCTGCCGACAGCCTCATCCAAGACCTCCCACTTTCAATCTCTTTCCCCCAAAAGGCTCCTGGGTAAGTGTGACCCACCAGCATGATATAGAAATAGCACTCAGACTTATATGCTGCCCCATAATGCTTTACAGCACTCTCTGGGCTGTTTATATCACCAGCATTATTTGCATATTGCCCCCCCCAAGAGCCAGGCTCGAACTCCAGGCTGTGAGCAGAGTTTGCCTGCAATGCTGCATTCCACCAGGTGGACTCTTGCGAAATGCAACATCACAAATCATTCCCACTAAAGTTGCTTCGCCATTCTGCTTTTTCACTTAATCTTCTTGCCTCATCTTAATTAAAAAGTATGTCTCAAACTTTATATGCTTAACTTTTGGGGAAACTGGCTTTTTAAACTCTTTCATGGATTACACATGTACTTTCCCGCAATTATAACCCCTTGCTAAACCCTGCTAGATGTAACATACCAAAGCACGCTTGATGTATTCCTCTTGGGCGCTCTTCAAGTTTTCTTTCTTGCCGCTCCAGGCCTTGAGGGCCGAAGCTTGGAGGGCACGGCCATAAGAGAAGGTCAAGGCCCATGGCTTGTGCAGAGGGCACTTATTGATGGCATTTAAATTGATGGAAGCTTCTTCCTCACTCTGACCTCCAGACAGGAAAGTGATGCCTGTGACCACAGGAAGAACGTAAATAGGCCAGGCAGAACTAAACATGGATTTAAGGTCTATGGAAAATAGCTTTAAGAAGGAAGAAGTGTTTTTATGGGGAAATTCAACATTGAGAAATCCAGGAGAGAAATTCAAGGATTCTTGCATTCTTTCTATCTTCACTCCACCCTGATCCTTCAAGAAAATGGTTCCAGTTATATAGGTGGGGTGCACCTTGTCTACACTTACAAAATGGGGGAGTCCTCAAGGGGGGGGATTCTATACGACTCCAATAGCAAACATGATATAAAGTATCAATAATCTCACAGGTCAGTTTTCCCCAACTGGATGTGTAGGATCTATAATTCCCAAAGTTCCAGCCCCCACAGACTCAAATAACTGAAGAACCCCAGAATGAAAAAACTAACATATTAATAACTTTTCTTATTATAAAATGCATAGAGAAGCCCAAATGCACACAAGTAATCTTCTATGGTTGTGCATGTGTCTACATGACCCACTTTGGGATTAGAAGCAGGCAGAAAATTGGGGTGTTAGAAGCTTGATTTTTCTTACCAGGCACTGCTGGAGGGACGGTGCGGCGCAGGGCAGTCACGGTGGCAAATGCAATTTCCTCAGGTGCGTATTTGGTAGTACAGCCATGGCCGGGTGTCACCATGTTTGGTTTGAGCAGGGTCCCCTCCAGGTAGACATGATGGTCACTTAAGGCCTTGTACACAGCAGCCAGAACCTGTCCACAGAGTGAATCAAGGCAAGAAATAATTTGTAAGATTTCTACTATCAAAAGAATTCTCAGTTGCATTAGGAGCCTCCTTTTCCAATTACAAGGCATGCAAAAGTCTTTTCCACCTGTACCCACTGTACCCCACTGAGGTCAGTGGAGGAGCCCCCTTCCGCATCCTCACCTTCTCTGTCACATACTGGCAGCGTTTGAGGTCATGGTCACCATCAGGAAGGATTTCTGGTTCCACAATAGGAACAATTCCATTCTGCAGTTCAGGGAAAGGAGAGGCATTGTAATTATTAGAACCGTAAATTGATAATGCATTTTTTTTTAAAAAATCCCACTTCGGAAACCAGTGCAGCCCCTTTTCAGGTCATAGGCTGTATTCAACTTTGGAACAGTGTGCAGCACTACACCAGTTGCCAGATGCCTCCTGAGCACTTTTTAAGGTGCTGGTATTAATCCTAAGTGGCTGAAGGCTTCAGTGCCTGAAATACGTCCCTCTTCTTCACACAAATCCATTGGCCATTAAGAACTTCATGCTGTTCCTTTGTGTCCGCTCTGTTGGAGAGACCCCAGCCACATTACTCTTGAGAAACGTGTCTGCCCATCCCCCATCCCGTTACTTAGAAAATCACCAGCTTTTTAAACCATTTGCAAAAAAGGCCATAAAATTAGGTGATCAATCTGTTTTACAACTACAAGTTACAACCATGGAGCGAGACTCTACTATGGTGATACGTTGAGGACTACCTAGCTTTTAATTATACACCAATTTTCAAATTAACAGTTTTTCACTTTCTTAGCTCTTGCCCAAGCAAAAAGGTAGAATATAAACTTAATAAGTAAAGCTAATATGATTATTCCCTGTGGGTTCCTTTTTCCCTTCTTCATATTAAAATTATAGATAAATGGCGATTTTTAGAAAAATCTGAAATGTGGGGTTTACAGATTTTAACCCCTGCCGTAAACAACCTCTATTTTCAGGAGAAAACAACCTCAAACTCTTATTCCTTTCCAATTTATCCGTGCTTTCTGTGAAATTGCAAGTGGTGAAGCATAATATATTTGGGGACGTTAACTGAAATATGCCACAGGGAAAATTTACAATCACGTTATCTAACTCCAGCCACCGGAAAAATAAGAACATTTGCAAGGTCCTTGCAAAACTGCCCAGAACTATTTCTGTTGATTGGAGACCACAAAACAGTGATTTCAACACCGTCCTCTTGAGACACACTTGGCAGCTGAATGACGACATTAAGAAGCTCTGCTCCACACAGCTGTATTGAGCTAACTGAAACCCAGCTTGTCTCCCAACCCAGCCAGCTAAGAATTTTTAAGGAGAGATCAAACTTTGGCTCTGTTCCATGAATTGCATTTGCTCCATTATGATGCTTTCTGTCCATTAAATATCAGTGGCTACATCGATCATCGCTGAGGCAAAAAAAAAAAAAAGGGGGCCAAAAAAGCCAACACAGTGCTGGGCTGCATCAACAGAGGGATAGAATCAAGATAATGTGAAGTGTTAATAACCAGTTTACAATGCCTTGGTAAGGCCACACTTGGAATACGGCATCCAGTTTTGGTCACCACGATGTAAAAAAGATGTTGAGACTCTTTAGAAAGAGTACAGAGAAGAGCAACAAAGATGATTAGGGGGCTGGAGGCTAAAACATATAAGGAACGGTTGCTGGAATTGGGTATGTCTAGTTTAATGAAGAGAAGGACGAGGGGGGACATGATAGCAGTGTTCCAATATCTCAGGGGCTGCCACAAAGAAGAGGGAGTCAAGCTATTTTCCGAAGCACCTGAAGACAGGTCAAGAAGCAACGGATGGAAACTAATCAAGGAGAACCAACCTAGAACTAAGGAGAAATTTTCTGACAGAACAATTAATTAGTGGAACAACCTGCCTCCAGAAGCTGTGAATGCTCCAACACTGGAAGTTTTTAAGAAGAGACTAGACACTCAATTTGTCTGAAATGGTATAGGGTTTCCTGCCTGAGCAGGGGGTTGGACTAGATGACCTCCAAGGTCCCTTCCAATTGTATTATTATTACTATCCAACGACAGCCAGAATTCCTCTCCTAATGTCGCTGTGCACCCACCTGCTGGCAGATGCTGGCATAACGAGCAAGCACATTGGCATTTTCAATGATGGCCAGGTAGGAAGGGGTGGTGGGAGTGATCTTCAAGACACTGCGCCACTTGGCAAAGTCAGCACCATCCTTCTTGTACTGGGCACAGCGTTCAGACAAGCCATCCAGACCTACAAAGTTAGGAAGAGATTATAAGAATAAACTTCTTTGAATGCCTCAACCTGAACCTTCCATTGCTACATGAATCCAGGTTTATAATCCATAATGTCGGCCACCTCTCATAATCTGCTCACACATATTTGCTCACCCTGGGTGGTGGTCTCTCCATTAGTCCCGGCAAGAGGCACAACACCTTTGTCAACCTACACAGATGGAAGAAAGGAGGAATATCTGTCAAACCAATGACTGATCGCTCCATTCTCATCAATACACCCCTAGTTTACAACAGTGATTAGGGCAAAAATATAAACATTCCCTTTTCGTCCCTATCAGTGGTCTGTGTCTTTCTCAATCTTGAGTCCTCTACCAGAGCTTTGGGAATCTAAGGTCCTGGTACTTCTCCTCATATACATAGTCCTCAACTTACAACTTGTGACTTAGATGTACTTTGGGGCTTACGACGCCAGATTTGAAGTTCTGCGGTTATATGACCAAATTTAGGGTGCTTAGTACCAGCTGGACACATGTATGGCCATATTTACAGCTGTTTGCAGTGTCCTCCAGTCCTGTAACCCATTTTAGTTACTTCCGGTTTTCGGCAAAACCATGCCAATAGAGCAGGGCTTTTCAACCAGTGGCACAGGTACCACCTGTGGTACATTGGCACCTGGCAGGTGGTACGCGACCATCCTAGAAAAGTGGTAGCGGGGGAGGGGAACGAGCTGAACCGATGGCAGCACCGCACAAGCCTGAGCGAGAGATGGCTGGAGCTGCAGGGCTGTCAGGGCTCAGCGGAAGCGCCAGGATCAGTGTCGCTTTCCAGCTGATCGGCGGTTCTTCAGGGCTGTCAGGGCTCAATAGAAGCGCCAGGCTCCAGCTGGAGCTCGGCGCCGATCCTGGTGCTTCTGCTGAGCCCTGAAAAAGCACCAATCAGTTGGAAAGCAGCACTGATCCTGGCGCTTCTGCTGAGCCCAGAAGAAGCGCCGATCAGCTGGAATGTTGCAGCATCTCCAGGGTCTTGTGATTTACATTCATATGCTTGGCAACTGTTGTAAGTTGAGGACTACCTGTACTTTATGACTTTTTTCCTTTTTTGGGGGGGGGGGGGTCATCAAGTTTTGCTAGGCGACTGGTGGTACTCGGATGTTGCCATATCCTAAAAGTGGTACAATGGGTGAAAAGGTTGAAAAGCCCTGCAATAGAGGACCATTGGTTCGCTTAAAGATGGCAGTGTTCGCTTAGCTTTCGGAAAGTGCACCAGCCCTTGAAATTCTAATCTATCAAATTAACTGAATGTAGGAATAGGAAACAATAGCCGATCCAAATGAAAAAATTATAAAGGCACCACTCTGAATATTTTGATATGGTTGTCAATCTCCTGTTTCAATAGCAAAACTTTGTAGCCACCATTTTATCTCCTCCCTTGTTGGTCCCCCCCCATTAAGCACATTAAAGAGATTCCAGTGTTTAGTATCCAAAAAGCTTCCTGTTCATTAAACTGGGAAAAAGAATTTTGTTCAGTACAGTTAATCATAAAAAGTGCAAATCGCCGCGGACATGGCATATCCTGTCTTCCTACATAGAATGCTTCTTCAGAGGCAATATCTAGATATGTTATAAACCCACTTTATTCACGCCAATGGCGTGAATGAGTGAAATCAAATGTTCCGTTCCTTGCATTCTGTTCCAGATTTGTTCCCACCATTCCATTCCCACAATTTTGGGTTTGGCAAACCCCCTAATTAAAACCCATGAGATGCTTACCTTGATGCCAACCAGGGCACCTTTGTCCTTAATGACCTTTGTGAAGAGATTCCCATCATCAGCTTTTTGGTACATGGTCTCATGGAAGAGGATCACACCACCGATGCAAGGGTTGACGCGGGTGTCTGCGGTGAAGAGCAGTTGCCTATAAAAGCGGCGGTTTTCTTCTGTGTTTTCGGTGCCAATGGACTGCAGGCGTTTGGCAATGCTGCCTAAGAGGCAAAAAGACAAAGCAGAAATTCGTGTCAAATGCTCAATTCGAGACCTGCAGGCCTTTTAAAGGCCTGTCTTCCCCCCCCCCTATTTTTTCCCCACTGCCTCCCCAACCCCAGCCCAATGCCTCTCAATGTGCCTCTTTGGCTCTTACCAGTAGACTCATCAGCTGCTAGGATGCCTTTGCCGGCTGCCACAATGCGGAGAGCATTTTCTGACAGCTCCTTCTTCTGCTCTGGAGTCAAGGCTGGGTATTGGTGAGGCATCTTGGATGACTAAACTAGAGAAGGCCGGGAAGTGTTAATGGCTTGGCAATGGAAGATCCTTTGGCTGAGAGGGCGGATCAGCAGGGGGATCCACGTGCTCTTCTGAATTCCCAAAAGCATAGCAATAACAACAATTTTAAGCCCCAAATCATGACACAAAATACATTGGGGGGGAGGGGAAACAAAGATTTTCTGTGCTTTATCAATTCCTGCACTAGGTACATGCTCAGGGGAGCCTTAATCTTGTCCTTCCCAATTCTGATGTTACAGGTAGGCTGGAATGCAACCCTATCATTGTTAGCCAGCAGAAGCCCAGGATAACAATCCTAGTGCGATACATCTGAAGGGTTTCCTAATTAGGGAAAAAAGGCTAAGAATATATTCATCTGACGATTTCGGCTCCAGCTATTGTGATGGTTTACTGACTGGCCATTTATGAACCAGGTCTCCTTGTTCCTTCCCACTGCAACACAACTATACATCTATCCCTGATGAACCACCCAATGTTTCTGCAGAGACAAGAGAATATGTTACCATAGAGATTAGAGGATTTCCATTCAGGTTAAAAGGAAGAGGCCCCTAATTGAAAGCAAGAACATCCAGTGTTCCTGTAAAGGGAACAAATAAACCCAGCCAAGGACATTTCAAGGACAAGGAAATCTTTTACTCTCATTTTCAGCTTCCCTAACCCCCAATGTTCTGGAACAGCCTCTCTTTCACGTAGTCTCATATCTTTCGTTCTGCAAACTACTATAGATTTTTTTTTTTAAAAAAAGGAAAAAAGCATTAACTTAGAAAACGAGGTTGGGATGCAAAACCGGAACTTTTAAGAGTGAGGATTACACTGGAAGGAAGAAGAAAGGCAAAAACCCACATCTCTGAATTCTCCGGCGCAACAGTTAACAGATTAAACTTCGCCACGTGACTTCATCTCCTGCTCCCCCTCCCCAAGTGGTTTCTTTTCCCTCCCTTCAGCAAATATTACCTCTCCAAAACAAGATTCTTGCATATATGTATATATTAAAAAATGAAACAGGGAGATAAATTAGAACTGTCTCCCCAACCTTGTAGCAATGCTCACTGTTCCCCTCCCCCCACTTTCAAATCAAGATGGCTCACCGCTCTCCTCCTTCGGAAAAGTACTAAAGCGTTTGCGCGGGGAAACAGCAGCAGCAACAGCTACAGACAGCGAGGGCGCCCGAGTGAGGAGCTCGAATCGAACGCAGAGAGCCCCACCGTTCCAAAATCGAACGTCACGTAACTTGGGCGGAAAAGGTTGAGAAGTTGACTCATTAGGGTTGGGGGGGAGGGAAGAGACTTAAAGGGCCCGAGTTCTTTCTTCGCATCACGACAAAGTATTTAAAAGACACACACACAAGGAAACGAAGCGTAACGTGGGCGGAAGGCTCTGCTGAGTCGCGCCCGGGAAAAGGACAGAGTATAATTCGCATGGCTTGGCCGTGATTGTGCAAAAAAAAAAAAAAAAAAAAAAAAAAAAAAAAAAAAAAAAAAAAAAAAAAAAAAAAAAAAAAAAAAAAAAAAAAAAAAAAAAAAAAAAAAAAAAGGCTGCTGCTGGATAGTCTAAGCAGTAAAATTACACAATAAAATGTGATATTCTAAGGGCAAGGGAAGCCTGGGTTAGAATCTCCATACACAAGTAAGGGCACTGAAAAAATACAACAATCCTCTCTTCAGTTACCCTGCCTGGTAATTGAAGGGCAGTTAAAGATCATGAAGGAATCAAACTCAACTGCTGAAGTTACATCAAATGGGTGGCTCCGTAGGGTTTCCGCCACCCCCCCCCCCTTTCTCCTTAACATCCTCTCCAACTTCAGTTTCAGTACTGACCTTTCAAGGGGAAACCTGATCACTCCTCCTTCATCTCTTCTGTCCTTTCCTGAAGGACACATTACTATTTCTGGATCTCGCCCTACCCCACCCTGGGCCCATGAGCTCTGGATCTCAGTTACCAAAAAGAATGCCCTGGGCATATATGGACTGAAAGATAGCAAAATGCCATGGAAGTGATAAGAGGGAAGCAGGAGCATGAAGAAAAGAGGCCGGGTGGAAAAATCCCAGGACTTTGGATGCCCGCCACATCTGCCCAAGCCTTGCAAGCTGAAGCCCTTCGGTTGAGGTGGCTCGATCTGGAATCACTAGGTGTTCCAAAGAGCCCCTAAGTAGGGGAACTTCCTGACACAAAACATAGCAAAGGCTGCCACAGTGTAGATTCCTTAGCGGCAGTGGCTAGGGAAGATGGGTGGGAGACGATTGCCCCCAGTCCTGTTTGTTAACCTTCCTCTGGTATGGAAGATCCACAATGGGAGTAGATGCTGGGTTAGACAAGCCTTTGGCCTAATCCTGCATGCTTGTTTTTATCTTCAGGATCAACATTATAGATAGGGGCAAGGTCAGATGGAGGGATTCTTAACAGGAATTTCTTTGGCTGGGGAATTCTGGGAGTTGAAATCCACCTGTCTTAAACTTGCCAAGTTTGAGAAACACTGCTTTAGTGCTAGGAGTCAGTGGCTCAGCAGTTGGAGACCATAGAATTAGGCTTTTTTTTTAACAAGATAAGCTTAAGTGGCATTGTCCTGTGCCAGTCTAGCAGTGTTGATTCCAAGAACCTAGTGCTGGCAAGTGAAGAAGTAGAGATATAGTACTTATTCCCAGGCTGTGTTCATACAACACAATGAACTGGCTTCCTGGGTTACACCAACTCAACTCCTGTAGTTAATTATTAGTATGTGATATGAAGACAATATGTTAATTCCACAAAACATGATTACAACTCTATGACCATAATCCATGACTGGTTAACACAACCAATCTAATCTACTGATCTTTAAACAAAAATTTTAAAAAGGAACGCATCTGAGTTTGTACAGTATCTTAATCTGAATCAGTTTCTTCACAAAACCTATGTTTATTGGTTGAAGAAATAGACCAAGTGAGTGGCAAAACACTTTCTGCTTACTCAAAAGCAAAAACAAACTTATTTGAAATTAAACCACCCATTTTAGGAGCCAGGTGTGTTGGGGAGGGAGATTTTGGTTGTACCTAAAGAAATCTTAATTGCAATCCATTTCTTAATGACATGGACACAATCACACTCGTGACTCTAATGCATCTTCCCAGTTTGCTTACTGGAAATTCACGGTGAAACATTCAGTAGAAAGGCTGACTAATTACTGAGTAAGGATCATACATAAATGCAGATATCCCTAGAAGTTTCCAGGCAGGATACTAATATCAAGGAACAACTGTTGAGTAGTCTTGCAACAGAGTGCTGCCTATTCTTCTGGAGTGAGTTCAGTTGTTAAAGGAAACAACAAATGGAAGATAAGGTAATGTAAAGAAGCATTTGCCAAGGTGGGAAGCAGCACTCCTAGCGAGTTATCTGATGCCCCAGTGCCTAAGCCAATGTTTCTCAACCTTAGCAACTTTCAGATTGAGACACATCTGAAAATTGCTAAGGTTGAGAAATACTTGCCTCCAAAGCGAGAGAGGCAGCACTGTTTGATTTACGACAGGAGACAGGTGGCCAGGTCCCTCTGCTCTCAGTATAGCAGCATCTCACTAGTTTTGCCTGAATTTCCTAAGCCCTGCCTAAAACCTTTAATGATAGCCTAAGCCAGGGTGAATCCACAGGGGCTTCTTTTGGAATGGTTACGGTAACTGCTGAGTCACAAGCTCTGTGCAGGATCTCAGGTAGCAAGAGTGGGGAGTGGGGAGCCCCCTCCTTCCCCCCCCCTGCCACTTATGGTCCTTTCTATAGCCCTGTCAAAACTAAAGGATAATTTTTGAAGAACAGATGCAACTCTTGGGAGGCAACTGCTCCAGGGATGCTTTGCCCTACAATGGCATCTCTATCTTTAAATCTGAAAGATAATTATATTGCATGCAATTATTCTTATTCATTTTAGGGATTTCTGTAGATCAGACATGTAATATTGTAGATGCAAGACGGAGAGGCCAGCAGTTAGGCCAACCCACAATGCTGTAATATTTTCTGATCAGTTTCAGGATTTATGAAATCTAATAACTTGACTCACTGTTTCCAGTCCCCAAAGTTCCTTTCATAGCTTGGCTTAAGCAAGAGTGTGAACAGCTGAGTTCCCCAATGCTTCAATAAAGGTGGGGGGAGCTTCAGAGTGAGCACACTGGGGATGGGGGTAACAGATACATTTTCAATTCAATGCATTCATGTTCAGCTTAAAAAGAGCTTCTCTGGAGACTGGTAAGAACATCACATTCATGAAATCAAAGCAGTTTTATCATTTGGATGAAATGGACTCAGACACATGTAACATGTGGCACAATAAAGTTTTTGAGTTTCTGTAAGATTGTCTTGCAACAAACTATAATACAGAGTTTTATTCCAAGATTGTGACAGGGACTAAAGGATAACTGAAGAAAGGAGCTACCTGTGAAAGTTATTTAAAACTACTCCTGATTTTCATGCCTCAGTAAAGCCAATAAAAGCAACATAGATCATTTACAAGGATCTACTACAAAGTCTTTAACATAACATAAAGATTTAACAAACCAGTGGTTTCGTTAGTAAGCCAAAAATGTAGACAGCCTTTCTCACATTTTCATGAATCGTTTTCACAAGTGATATAAAAATATATTTAGTCTGAAACATTAATGGATTTTAATGCAGGATAGAAAGCCATGGGCAGATTTAAAAAAAAAATGAAAATATCCATTGCATTTAATGGGTTGGACTGAGGCATGGACATATTTAGAGTGTGAAATCAATTATCTTTATCTATTCCAATGGTGTATGTTCAGCCATATATTTTTTTTGCAAATGAGTTACAGATGCTCTACCAGGAGCAATATAAATTATTACACATGGAATCCATCCTACCATCCAGGCAAAAGGATGGAAGATGTTTAGGAGCAAGGAAAAAAAGAGAAAGTGCAAAATAGCAGCATGGATATAAATTTGTTGACTTAGGTTGCAAGTGACACCTTTAAAGACAAAAAGATTAGATACCTCACAAGAATGCAGAGAAAACACTGAGACACAAACATTTATGGTCTGCAGAGCAGGAAATTGTGTGAGCAGTGCTTCCTCAAACCAGCAACCAGTAACTTGTACTTTTTGCAAGTCATACAGTCAAAAGGAAGAAACAACTGTCTTGTATAATACATGGTGTGAGACGCTAACAATAAACTTCTGGGCCCAATCCGAGCAGAGAAACCCGATTCCAAACAGGATTGGAACTTAAATCTTCTCAAATAGACAGCACATACACATACAGAAACACAGGAATGCAAAAGTAGTAAAACCTCTGAAGGGAAGGATGGACGAATGGCCTAGAAGAGAGGGAGCTATGGCTGTTAAAAAATAACAGGGGAAAAAAAAAAACCTCTCCATTTTAGGGCCCTGTTAAAAAAAGATAAATCAAAATAAGAGATGGATAGTTTTGAGCTGGGAAGAACTTAACTTGCACGGTAAATCTGCAGCTAACCTATTCAATGACACTATTTTTCCAGCACAGCCATTGTGATTTAACACCCTCCCCAGGACCCCGATTGCAACCTACCCCCATCTCTCCCCACCCCCAGCTCATTCCTATGGAAAAAAATGCCGATGCAAAGCTGATTTCTCTCTTGCCAGTCTCTGCTCTCACCAACCTTGCTCTCCTCTAAAACTATCATGTGAAATCCAGGCTTCCCCCCCCCCCAATCTTCCCCCCCCATACCGTGGGTACAGCAGGGGGCTCTGGCGAGACACAGCAACTCCGGAGGGCGCTTGCTGACTGGCAAGAGGCAAAGACTGGAGGAGGGCTATAAAAAGAGGGAGCAGTCATTGGGCGGGGCTGGGCTAACCTTCTCCCCAACCCCTGACCTTTTGTCAGGCAGGCTAAATATAGGCCCCGGGACCTGAGCAGGTGAAACACGAGGCTCTTGACATTCCTTGCAGAGCAAGGAACAGCGAGAGGGTCATGAGGTGAGGGAGGGAGAGAGAGGGCCAGCCAACCCCCCCCCCCCACCAAGGGGGCATTGCTCAGTTGCAACACACTTTCTGTTCTTCAGACCTCTTCCTACTTGGACCCCTCTAAGCCCCCCCCCCCATGCAGAGATATTTGGTTAGCAGATACTCCGGTTCCAAGTTTTCCCCTTTCCCTCCCTGCCATCTGCCAAAACCTTCCGCTATGAAGGCACCACCCTCTCTTACCAAATCTCCTTCTCCCGGTATCTCACTTGGATTACTGCTGGATTTCAGTTTCTGCTCCTGGGCCCAGGATGTCAAAGTTGTCAATGCCACCTACTGTCCTCTGGGAAGAACAGCATTTTTAAGCCACCGGAGAGTTAAAATGGGTCAAGGCTGCCAACTGCAACACAACAAGGACAGGCGGAAAGAATCAGAGTACGGTTTTTCCCTCTGTAGGCCCAAAGAATGGGAAAGGAAAAATGGGAAGACAAATCTTCAGTGGCGGACAGGAAACAGATCAGAGATTCACTTTTTGATTTCAGGACTGAGGATAAGGCTTTGTTTATTAAATTTGTTTGCCGCTTGATCTCGCCACAAGGTGACTCTGGACAGCTTACCTTAACATTAAGGGCTGCCAGAAATTTAGACACTCTTCCAGATCTCTAGTCCCTTCCATAATTAAGGCTTCTCCAGAGACATATTAAGCAACAGGCGTGACCTGGTCTTATTTTTGGACATTGCTACTAATTGATGCCTTGGGAAGGCATCAATTTCTCCTCTTATCCCTCGAATTTGCACCAGTTCTCTTGGGGGAAAAGCTCCAGGGAACTGAAGTTTGTGTAGTTCTGATAAAGCTGTTGTGCAATTAGACCACAGAATGTCATGTAGTTTAAGTCATAAACTAATTTTATCAGAGTTTGCTCCTTGCACTAAGCCACTATGTGAACAATTTATTTTCAGTATAGGACACTGTATGAATCCAGCACTTGTAATTAATCAGCCATGTGCGTTAGATTCTATCTGAATCTGACTGGAATGGCTATCCAACAAGCTTTTGACAGAAAGTCCTTAAGGTCAGAACTGGGACCAGAATTTCCCTTGCTAAATGAGGCGGTTGTTAAGTGAGTTATGCCCAATTTTACCACCTTTTTTGCCACTGTTGTTAAGCGAATCAGTGCAGTTGTTATTTGAATCATGCAGTCATTAAGCAAGTCCATTGTCCCCCACTGACTTTGCTTGTCAGAAGCTGCCTGGGAAAATTGCAAATGGTGGTCACATGGCCACAGGATACTCCAGGAGTCATAAATACATGCTGGTTAAACAAAAACCAGAATTTTGATCACAATGGGGATGCACTTGTTGTGTGAGTACTGGTCGTAAGTCACTTTTTATCAGTGCTATTTTATAACAGTTGCTAAATGAATAGTTGTAAGTAGAGGATTAATGTATTAAAACAAACCATGCTTTTGCATGATCCCAGCTATGAATAAGAACTAGAAATCACACATACATATTCTTCCCCACCCTGTAATTAAGAGAGAAGGAAATGGCTGCACTACAGCTGTTATAAGTCAGATGAATGGTTTTTAGCAAACATTTCATTAGCATGAGGTAGACAGAAATGCACCCTGCAATGTTTGCCAGAAGGAAGAAAAAAGTGCTCTCATTTACATTGCATAAGCAGATCTCTAGGTGAGGCAAGTGTAAACATGAGCAAAATATTTCCCTGTGGCTGGTCAATTTAGCCACAGAAAGGTTGTAGGGGCTTTCATATGATCATCTATAAAGTTTTCACCTTATTGATCTGTTGGATGAATAAATCATAGCCTACAGGAGCTGTTGTGATAATTTGGTCATGTTTTAAATTCTCACCGGTATTTTTTACACAACTCACCAAGCCAGACTCCATAAATGGGGGATTTATACATCACACTGATCTCAAAGCAAACAAATCACAGTATAGGTTAGTGCTATGTGCAAGTCATTGTGATTGGTAAATCATAGTGTATGATTTAGCACTGCATATTAACCCGAATGGGTGGAACAATGGAATAATATGATGAGTAAACCCAACCTTTTATAACATTAAGCCTGCATTGATTTGTCTTAGGAATACTGTATCTAGATTAACAGGCCAAAATATTCTTGGCAAGTTTGTGTTTCCAACACACAAAACTAGCCTTTATTTATTTGCTGCAAAAATTTAACATAGCCACATGGTCTGGAAAGCTTTACAAAATTCTGGGATCTACAGTCAAAATCTGAAGTAGAAAGATCTCAGAGATGCATATTATTAAGGATAGAGCCAACAGTGGTGATCAAATGTTAAGAGTTATCCTGAAGATGATTAGGATCAGATTCATTCCCATTTGTTCCAGAGAATTAGATTGTGGACAAAGAGTAGAAATTAAGATATAAATGTTGGCTTAACATAAGAATAATGGCAAGAATGTTTTAAAAACTTTGAAAACCTTGAGGCTTTTGCCCAGAATGTATGCTTCAAAGATTCTAATATATAGTATATCGTGTTTCCCCCAAAATAAGACCCAACTGGAAAATAAGCCCTAGCGTGATTTTTCAGGATGCTTGTAATATAAGCCCTATCCCAAAAATAAGCCCCAGTTAAGATTGTCAGCCAGCCCCATTTAGTACTGTATTTCCCCGAAAATAAGACTTAACCGGAAAATAAGCCCAACTACCATCTTTTGGAGCAAAAATTAATATAAGATCCGGTCTTATTTTTGAGAAAACACGGTATGTAATAGAGGTGAGTAACTTGTGGTTATCAGAATTGCATACATCTCAGGAGCTTTTTATGACTCTTAGAATGAGGTTTTGTATCATTGTGAGCCAGACAATACATGAGTATTAAATGTACACCTGTAGTGGGCTCTTGGGCCTCTTCTAAATATTAGAAGCCTATCTCAGCTACAAAAATTGCCTGCCACCTGCTTACATTTTTAAATACCTAGCGGAATTCAGAAAAAAAAACCCTGCCTAGCATGTATTTATGCATTATTTGTCTCTGGATTGTTTCAAAATAATCGACAATCTATTACAATGCACCATATCAGTCTAGTTTCTAAATATTAATTGCACATGACACAACCGTCCCCCAGCCATGTACACGGAGGGACCACTGCAGTCATTTTGAGAATTGTGATAGATTGGGAAGATTTCTTCTAGGACACTGGATTTTGAATATACTACACATGTATATTGTCACAAAATGAATCAATATAGGGAAGCTGAGATTATATGGGGAGAAAAGAGCTAAGCAGAGGTCACAAGCACCAGTACATTTGCTTATAATTTAGTAAGGAAAAATACTGCACCAGTGAGCCAGAGGAGTTGTTCCTACGCATGGAAAGGGAGGCTTGATGGAACAACAAGTGGAGATCAAGAGGCCCCAAACCACACCTGTGGTGCATACTGCTGCAATCTTCAGCCTATCTCCAGCAATAGGCTGTGATCCAGTTCCCCATGGCAACCTGCAAGGCCTGGGTTGTGATGCTAGTTACCATGGCAGCACTGTTACTCTTTCCCCAGATCCATCCTCCAGCCCCTCCCCAGAAGAAGTCCATAGCAGCTGAGAAATAATCAGCAGGAAACTTTAATTAACAAGGCAGTTTTGGAACAGACAACAAGTTGAGCGGGGATCTTACAAGAAGTTGCACGGTTCTGTTTATCTGGTCAAAACCAAGCATGGTCACTTCTCTCCAAGCAAGCAAGGCCCAAGGGAAACAGGAAGGCAAGGGGTTCCTCATGAAAGCTCAGAGCTTCTTGTTTCATAGGTCATAGGATGCAAATGAAGCAAATTCAAGGGCATATAATTGAAAATCACAAGGCCATAGCAGTAAAAGTTCTTAGGAAGCAAAAAGGAACAAGCCCAGAAAAGTCAAAGTATATCAAATCAACTACAATAGCATTTAAGAATAATGTTATCAAGGAGCAGCTTTCCTAAGTCGAGGAGGTGAAGATGGTCACAGCGCCCGCATCCCGCTGGATCATCACAAGAGTCTACTGAGGAGGTCATAATTTAACATTCACATCAAAAAGTTCAAGAAGTTCAAAGGGAATCCAGAATTCAGAGCATTGTGATCCTGTGAGGGTCAGCAGCAGTTCAGGTGCTCCACTGGGTGTTCAGCTGGTTTCCTCAGAGTCTAGGACTTTGACGTGGGTGAAGGGGAAGTGTCCACGGCGCCCATTCAGCTCTCCCTCCCATTGGCCATTGACATTCATCTTGGTGACTGCAATGAGATCACCCACCTGTGGAATATCACAAGACACAAAGATCAGAAGACTGCCCACCTTTCTGTACTTTCCCAGAATCTCAACCTTTCCTAACTTCTGTGCTGGAATTATAACTCCTGGAACATACGGACAAACAACTCCCACAATTGTTGGGTATCAAGCTGGTGAAAAATGACCTCTTTTCCCCAACACCTGACAGATGAAGCTTTTTATATTTTTTTAGTGGTCATCTCAAATGAGGAATAGGTTCCAGGCCAGCATATTTCCAATTTGCAAAAATACTTGCGTGAAAGAACTGGATTGCTAGGAATGCCAGAATCCAAGCATGTTCAGTTTATTATGATTTTTGAGCTCCCTCCCCTGCACATCCCTCAGTCCTAGGAAATAGTTTGATAATTGCAATGGGCTCCTTAAGAGCATAGTCAGAAGTCTGTAGCCTGGATTCTTTCACCAGCAAAGCCGTCTACTCAACACTTTGATGAATAATCATATCAGCATAATTTGTATTCTCCCCCTGACATTATAACTTTTAAAGGCCATAATTCCATGCCTCCTAGCAACAAAAGAAGCATTGCTCAAGATTCATCATTAATCTATATCATCAGCACTACCAGTGATAAATCCCCATTCATATACAGACATAACAACCAGATATTTATTTATTCATCTCACCACCCTCCATGATCAAGATCATCCTGACCCTTTTTAAAACATTTATTTTTACTCTTTTGGTGACTTGCCTCAAAGGCCAATGCTGTTTTGTCACTGGCACCAGGCACCCTTCGTTGGACTGCTCTGGCTATTACGGGAGCGTGTCGGGGGGCACCGTGGCTGCTGGGATGAGCATATGGACAAGGCTGGACATATGGCACGGGTATCATACCCACACGCCCATCGGCACGTTGAGCTGTCCACCACTGCTCTTCTGGCTTGGCTAAAACTCGCAAAGGCTCCCCTTTGCTGAAGGGAAGGTCTTCCTGGTCACGGCCAACAAAGTCATAGAGGGCACGGACCCACTCGCCAGCAGGAGGTGGCTGGGCAGAGGAAGGGGCTACAACGCGTCCCAAGGGAGCTACCAGGGTGGTAGTGTCCAGGTAATGCAGGCGGTAGAAGTCTAAAAGCGCTGGGAAACCGTCAAATTCATGCTCCCCAATCCGTAGACGCCCAGGGAGGCTGTTTATAATGTAGTGTGACACCTGAAAGAGACAGAATGACAAAGAAGCATAAGCCTGCTGTCTCAAATCTTCATCAGTTTCATGATAGAACAATCAACCTTGCCCAGTTAGGATGCATCCCTCTAGGTAAGTGAACTTCAAATCCCAGAATGCCCCAGTGCCAAGTATTCTGGATACTAAAGTTCAAACACCTAAAAAGTCACTCTTCTAAATCTATCAGCAACTCCCTGCTAACTCTCCACAAGCATGTTTCTTTTCCCCCACCAGATATTAGGATTATACAAAAATCACCTTGGAGTTTTCACTGACGGAGAGGACGTAGTCACCAGGGCACGTAGTACTGTCCCGTACCAGAAAGGTCCCATGGCGGTGTCCCTGGAGACATGCAGCTGCTTCTTGACGACTCAGAGCGCCCATATACCATTCATGAGCATCCCCAAAAGCAGACATGGCTTGAGGGAACATTGAAGGTGGAAAAACCCACCACTCTCTTTGTTGAATGTTATTCCTACAAAAACCTGATAAGTTTTGCTCTAGTATATAACAATGCTTTATGAAAGAAAGTTACCCTGTTGAATGCTTGCCATTTCAGTAGTTAGTAGGACCTTTAAATAATCACATGTATGATCCTGCAAGGGAACAGGACTTCTTTTGTAGTTCCACCCCAAAATCTTTCAGCCTAAGGTCTACTATTCAAACTTGGTATCTCCCAAGAGTATCCACAGCTACTTTCCCACACACTTCCACACCACAGCAATATTTTCTCAGAAGAAAAGTAATATCTCAGGAATGCAAATAAAGTTTCTGCAATCAAATTGTTATAATTAATGGGAAACAATTATTAAGTCTTTCATGTTTCCCAGTTTGAACATAATGGAGTAAGAGGGATACTTTCAACAATAACAAATCACTTTATGCTTACAATCAATCAAAGAATTAACCAGCTACTCAAAGGTAGCTTGCATCGGAAAAACATCGATACAATGCAATCATATGAGTAATATATTTACATAGGAATCAATATAGTGTCTTTAATATTAAGATAAAATTAAGAGAATAGATTGAGTAAACTACAAAATCTCCACTCCATTTAAATTAACATGAAGCATTATATGAGACATCAGCACCACACAAAAAAATTAAAAATAGCGGGGTGCTCCACTTTAAAGTCAAATTTGAAAAGCCTTAATTTTTCACAGACAAAGCTGGCATGGTTCACAGGCACCTAAACGGAGAGGATTATCTTCCACAGAGCCACAAACCCCACGTAGCCTTTAACCCACAAAAGCCTTGAATAGGATCCGCCACAGATGGACTCAGTCCTCTGCCCTGCATCCTTCTATTACTAGGTCGTCCTCTGGAGAAAACCACCGCACCCCAATTAACAGCTGCTGCTTCTGAGCTAATTAAAACTATTTCCCCAAGGCCTCTGGCACATCAGAAATTGACCCGCCTTCTCTCCCCCCACAAGCCCCACTGCAGCAGAGAAAAAGAAGCCCTCGCCCCTCTCCCTAAATGGGGAGCATCCCACATGAGGCTATCTAGCTCTGCCTCCAAAGCCGGCCGCGCTACCCCTCCGCTAGGCAAATAGACCCCGAATCCCCCATTTTATCTGCACCCGCCCGGCGATTTCTCTACCGCGGCATCGCAACCTCGTAACTCCCCGATGCAACCGGCCAGCGCCTCTTTCGCCCAGGACATCCTCCGAATCAACGGAGCGCCCCGCCGAGGCTCCCCTGCCTGGACTCCACAATAAAGCCTCGGCTGCACATGTCTCCCCGCCGCTTTCCCTGCACGCCTGTCCGGGGACGCGGCAGGGCTCGCCCGCGGCGACCCCGTTCAACAGCCCGCGCCCCCCGGCGGTCTGGCGCCCATCGCCTCGGCCCTGCCCTGCCCTCGGAAAGCTTGGGAGTCCTGGCAGGCAGCCGACCCACCCCTGCCCGAAACCGCTGCCCGCAATCCGGATTGCAGCTGCCGAAGGGCTGATGGGAAAGTGACGCACCCACCCTCCTCCCCCTCCCCTTTTTAAGCGGGGGTGGGGCAACCATCTTGAGGGTTGGCAAGGGGGTCTAGGGGAAGGGGCTGCCACCATCTTCATTGTGGGAAAATGGCCTTCCACGCCGAGGTGGAGGCTGCGATCGAACTGGGGGAGGGGGGGGTGTTGTAGCTGCAAGAATCGGTGGATGGGAGGATTTATTTATTTATTTAGCGTATGCCATAGAATACATGGATAAAAATATTAAAAGTATATAAATAAAGGGAGCATATAATACTGTGCTACACATATGTAGTCAAATTTGTAAGATATGAGGTATTCAAGAAGTTAT